TTTAAATTAAAATCAATTGGTTATTGCAAAATGATAAGACGTTGTTGATAACATTTGAAAGGGGAACGGAAAAGGGGGAGGGGCTTTTCGAAAAAAAAAATTCATGCAATAAAAACCATTGTTAAATTCGTTACCCTCGAAAATAGTTTTATTGTTATTATATAACTAGCAACAAGTTGTAAAACTAAAAAAGTAATTTTTGTTTTTTTTTTTAAATAAACAAAATTCATATGAAAACATTTAAACGTTTTCGAGTGTCGTTAAATAATAGCAAAAAAAAATGTAACGATAACGATAATAATAATAATAATAACAGAAAAAAAAGAAAAAATAATGACGAGATGCACTGATATTTGCAACAAAAAAATAGCAAATAATTTTTTTTTTTAATAAAGTTTGAAAATTTTTAATTATTTTAATAGTAAAATATAAAATAGGTGAAAAAGGTTTTTTAGGTTTTTGTTTTTTTTGTTTTTTTGGGAAAATGGAAAACCTAATTTAGAATAAAATAACGCTTCAAATGTCTGTCGTAAACTTGGTTTAGTTCAATTACAACAACCAAAACTTAATTTCCTTTGTGAACCTTTATTAGATTTTAATCCGTGTTTTTTACTCTCTCTCTCTCTTCCCGGTTCCCTAAAATCTCCTCTCTCTCTACCCCAACTCCCCCCCACCTTCCTCCAAAAAAACGACTTTCGGGTATTTTTCATTAAATTAATTTTTAATTTTCGCACATTCTATTAAAAATTTTATATAATCATTTGTTATGCATATGTCTGTTTGTTTATTCTCCGGTTTCGTTTTTTATTGTAAAAAAAAAAAAAAAAATGGCCGCCGACAAAATTATTTTTACCTTCAGGTACGAAAAAGAGAGAATGAAAAAAAAAAAAGTTTATAAAAAATTTATTCAGTTCGTGTAAAAAAAAAAAAAACTCGAAAATTAAATTAAAAATTCGTTGCAAAAAAAAAAAAAAATTTTTTTAATTGACATTTTTTTTATTTATTATTCCAGTCGACGACGACGACGACGGCAACGACTAATTTTAAAATTGCAACTGGAATCATATTAAATTTTTATTTCATTCTCGTATACGATGAGATGAAAAAAAAATCTAATTATCGAATAAAAAAAAAAAAAAGGTACAAACAAAACATGTCCGACGACGACGACGACATATAACACAAAACAACAAACAACATACATGAACTTACCTTTTTTTCTCGGTTCCAAATTTGGCGGCAAGAAATTTACCACTAATTTTGTTCGGCGACAGCAGCTGCCGCCGCTGCAGCCGCAGCTTTTTGTGCCTGTGCCTGTTTTTCCTGTTCGTTCAATTCCTTAATTGCTTGTATTTCTTTTTTCAATTTCATTCTCCTGTTTTGAAACCATATTTTTATTTGCCTTTCCGTTAAACATAACGCGTGTGCCATTTCGATTCTTCTCCGT